GGACCTCTAACACCTGTGGTCTCTAAGCATCTGCTAATCCTTTTGGGACAGATGGCTCCCAGTGCCGGTCAGGGCATCATTCCATCAGTGGCTCAGCAAACCCTCTCTTGCAATGGCAGTTTTGATGCTGTTCCCACCTAGTGACCCCTGAACAGTAACATGGTTTCCTGTAAGGATAGCTTCTGGGAAGAAGCACACTAATGGTCTGAAACTACAACTCAGCATATGTAAGCATCACAGGTGGCCAGACAAACATCAGTGCCCGAGTAGAGTGCTGGCTCGAGTTCCGTTAGCACTGAATGTTCTGGAAGAAGCAAGCTTTTAGAGTTGATGAAGAGATGCCAGTCACTGGAATTGCCATGGTAGCTCACCCTCTCAGAGACGGCCATGGCTAGGAGCTCATTTGAAAGTAAACTCATCAGAGGCCATAGGCCAATCTCAAGCAAATGGTAGTGAAATTTCACCTTTATGCAGAGCTCAGCCCACAGAACATCGGAGTAGAATACCATTTCTTGGGTTGAGGTATTTGGGAAGCAAAATTCTGATGATCATTAGCAATAATATTTAAAATTTGTACTTTGCAAATAACAGTGGCTTACATCTAAGAGTACTTTAACGATCAAAAAGGATTGTGTGTACGTGTGTGTGTGCGTGTGTGCGCGTGTGTGAAAGTATATGTGTACATATCTGCTACTTTTGAGAGTGGGTTTGGATTGAACTCAGCTGTTCAGATTTGGTGGTAAGCACCTTCGGCCTCTGAACAAGCTCTTAGATGCTGTATCTGGGAATTCTAAAAGCCATTGTTTAGTTTGTCAGAAGGTGATAATAAGTACACACCACCTCAATAAATGAGGAGAGAAAGGTCTTTTCCTTGGAGATGTATACAGAGCACCATGGTTATGATAAATAATGTGCTATGTCTTTTACAGTCACTAACACAGGCAACTTTACTTGTCCTTACCACAAAAAGCAAGAACTCGGGGGGAGGGGTAATTATTCCACATTGTTTTATTTCAAATGTTCTTCCCCTACCTCTATGCATGTATAAGTGTGTGTGTGTATGTGTGTATGTATGTATGTATGTATCTATTTATGTGTTTATGTGTGTGCATGTATGTGTCTGTATGTGTGGATATATGTGTGGATGTGTGTGTGTATATGTGTATGTGTGTATTGTATGTGTGCAGATGTTAGAGGCTGACTTTATGTGTGTGCCTCAATTGCTCTTCACGTTGTTTTTTGAGATAAGGTCTCTCACTGACTCAGGAGTTTATGAATTCAAGTAGATGAGTGGCTAATAATCCCCAAGGATCCTCTTGTCTCTGCCTCTCTAGCATACATGCTCTATCACATCTGGCATGTCTCCAGCTGTTACATGGGTGCTGGAGATCTGTTTCTCATGCTTGTGTGGCAAACACAAACTAAGCCACCTCCCCAACCCATCCAAATTATATTTGTGAATCATGGTACTGTCTTTTACCATATAAATACATGCAACTGTATTTTGTCAGTATTTAACTAAAACAGTAAAAATGGATGGTTAAGTTATGGGCTACTATGACTTGGATTCACCTAGGTGTAATTGATGACACATATGTGAAATGGACAGTACATGGAATGTCCTGGGCCCTTGGTGTTTTCTTGATTGAAGTAAGGTAAGTGCACCCAATAAACTACAAGGACCAGGGTCATTGTCTGATGCATAAGGTCCTCTCATATGACCATCTAAATTGATGGTATTTGGAAGACATGATTAAATTAACCAGAACAGGGCTGGGGATTTTGTCAGTGGGGAGAGTACTTGCCTAGTATGCAGGAGTTCCAGGGTTTGATCCCTAGCACCACATAAAACTGGGTGTGTGGCTCGGCCTGTGATCCCAGCACTTAACTAGAGGCTAGAAGGTCAGATGTTCAAAGTCATTCTTAGCTATCTTGTAAATTGGAAACCGGCCTGGGCTACATCTTCTTTCTGTTTAGTAACTTAATCCCTTAATCTCTTGCTAGGATGGTGGACATGATTGAGTGAATCTAGAAGAACTCTGCCCTTGGTAGAACTTAGCAGTTGATGTGGTAGATGTTGACTGCTTTATGTATGTAGAAAGACCCTGAGCAGAATGCTTCCAGCTCGCATTTTGATGTCCTGTCTTTGAACTTGAGCAGGGCACAACATGGCTGCTATTAATGTACTCGCTGGGTATCTAGTTTCTTCTTCTTCAGACCGAGTGGCTAAATTTGCTGTCAACCTCATAGCAACCAACCAAGTGTCAAAATGACTGAATGCCAGAAGCATGTAAATGAAGATCAAAGAGGTTAATCCACTTACTCAAAGGCATTTTAACACATACTAGAGTCACGCTTAGCTTGGGGGGGGAGGGGGAATCTCAAAGCCCGTATGTGTTTTGCTTTACCTGCAGTTCAACCAAATGAAATTCTCTGAGTTTTAGCTTCAATATCTTTTGCTGATATAATGTTTGCCCCTCATACTTCATTAATATTTTAAGATAATTAAATGAGGACCCAGATACACAAAGGCTCCATACCAGGCTGTAGAACTTTGGTCTATTACTATTTTCTAATGAAATTATTGAAACGAAATGTTTGCACAGTGATACATAATAATATACATCATAATAGTTCTATGGTAGTTGTGGAGTGTTTATGAAGTTGGATCTGATTTGAGATCAGGAAAGAGGAGTAGCAGAGAAAAAAGAAAATGTTTACTGAATGTGTCCTAATAATTATGACGAGGTACTGAGTATCAGGTATGTACAGAACTTTACTTAATACAGATATTAATAAGACTAAATAATTATCAAGCTGGGTCTTTGTTGATGTTGTTCCATTATAAAGATGAAGAATTAGGCTGAAGAGATGGTGCAGTGGCTAAAAGTGATTGCCACAGAAGGAGGCATATGGGCCTTTGTTCAAATTCCCAGAACTCACATAAAGCCTGGAGCAGTGACTGACAGACTGTAATCCCAGCACCTGTAGGGTGAGATAAGATCAGAGACAAGAGAATCCCCTGAAACTCCTGGGCCAGCTAGCAAGCACAGCAGCAACAACGAAGACACTGCCTCAAACGAAGTTGAAAGACAAGAACCAAAACACTCTTTTGTTTTCTGATGTCCTCACACATGCCATGGTCTGTGTGCCCTGCCCTGTGTGTGTGTGTGAGAGAGTGTGTGTGTGTGTGTGTGTGTGTGTGAGTGAAAGAGAGAGAGAGAGAGAGAGAGAGAGAGAGAGAGAGAGAGAGAGAGAGAGAGAACACAATTTTTAAGAATGCAAGAATTAAGGAATAAAGTTAAAAGAACATACTCAGTCAAAATGTCAGAGTGTCAGTGTCAGAGTTAGGACCCTGACCCCTGACCCACTCAGTCAACATCAAATTCTACAGTTTCGTAGGCAGTACTGGAGTCAATAAAAGCAAACCAGAAATGGGGTCCCCCAAGTTTTAGGCCAGAGCTGACCAGATGGAATGGAAAGTGATAGCCCTTGGCTTTATAATGACCTTGTTCATGGAGTCATCTGAGAGGGTCTTCTCAGGAGGGGGAGGGGGCAGTAGTACCACCATGAAGACATCTAGGCTCAGAAAGGATTCCTGGGAATGGATTCAAGGACATATTCTACAAAGCTGTAAACACATATTGTTCACTTTTGCAAAAATCACTTGGGTAAAAATCAGTTTAGGTTTGAATTTTGTTTACTGAATTCATTACTGTGTAAACAACCTTGGCCATGCTCCTTGGACCACATAAGCTCCCATCTGTGAAGTGGAGAACAAGTTCCCTCTAAGGCTCGAGGCGGTGGGAGGGTTAAGTGAGTTAATGCAGGAAGCATGGCTGGCTGGAGCCCGAGTTAAATCGATGCACTTTTCCTTCATACCTCTCTAGGGTACGTTTTATGTGAGGCCTCTGGGAGGATTTCTAAAGGTTTCTGTGCTGTGCCTCCAATTAGCCAGAACTACCATTGTCTTCCTGGGGTTCAAAATGACCATTCCCTGTAGTTTGCCTGAGCCCTGGAAATCAAAGGACACCATCACCGTGGGAATGGGGGCTGTGCTAAGGTTTAGACAAGAGCGACACTCATAAAAATCTTACAATAAGTATCAATAAATTCTAGTCATATTTCTCTTCTTAAGCCAGTGTCTACACTTTGATGACAATTCTTATTTTTCTGCCCCTCACTCAAGTTCGTTGTCACAGCCTTCTGAGAAAAACCTGGAGGGGTTGCCTCCAGGCATCAATGGAGGGTAAGCATTTTATCCTTGCTTTATCTAACTCAGATTCCTCTGTTCTGGGAAGGAAAGGCATTTGCCTTACTCTAAAGCCTATATCTTCTGCATCAAAGCCAAAAGGAAACCATATTACCCAAGAAACTACACACACACACACACACACACACACACACACACACTTCACACACTTGTGTGTATCCCTATCTCCATCGTCTCCATCTCCGTCTCCGTCTCCGTCTCTGTCTCCGTCTCCATCTCCATCATCTCCATCTCTATCTCCATCTCCATCTCTGTCTATCTTTATCTCTGTCTAACTCTATCTCTATAATTTCCCCAGGGCTGAAGGAGTTCGCTTCTCCTTTTCTCATTTGAACGGCCTCCTTTCTACTGAGACTGAGTTTGTAGGGGGAATCCTCCAATAGGGGTTAAAAACACTGCAGCAGACTTTGTCTCTTGATTTTAGCAACATAGGCTTAGGGATAGAGGTGTCTAAACTCCAGGAAAAATATACTGAAAAGCCTTAATCTTACATTATTCTCTAGGAAGACATCTGAAATTCTTTCCTAGCAGAATGAAGGAGTCTTCAAAGCTGGGCTGAAGAAACTGGATTCCCTTTTGCCCATTTGATGGTATATAAAAAGTCCGGGCTTTCATGTTAAAAAAAACAACCATTTTTCTTTATCTGTGTGAAGCTCTTTCTAATGATCACTGTGACAGTGTGGACCAAGAGACGCTTGCCAAGACAGAGCTGTTCTGTTTAGTTTACCTGCTTAGCCTTCGTTCAGTCAAGGGCTCAGCGTTGAAATGGCTAGATCCTGGAAAGGGAGTCCATGGTCGCCTCCGGGAGAACTCAGGGTAATATGTAAGGTAGGGTTGACATGTTCTCTCCCCTCAGCAGAGTCCTTTAGCAGAGACTGCCTTGTATGTGCCTGTTAGTTTTGGTTTTCTGAGAAATGCAGCCACAGACTTGGGCAGTCTGACCTTGTAACAGGCCAGACTTCCTCTTTGTGAGTTATGAGCTTTGAAGGTGTGGAGGCTGTTAAAGCTAACCTTACGTCAAACAGATTCGTGTGCAGTCCTTCACAGGAATCAGAATACGTGACAGCCAACTGCTGAGCAACTCTAAGTGAGCTTTGCCTAGTGGACATATGGACTGTAGTGTGACTGTAATGACTCCCTAAGCTCCTAAGACACATGTATCCTCTCAGGGAATATTCAGAAAGCACTCAGACTCAGAAGAGAAGTAGTTGGCTTCTATTCTTGCTGTGTTTGTTATTAAAAATGGGATCATAGGTAATTCTCATATCTGTGCACAAAGTCATGTAGCATATTTGAAGCACACATTACAGACTCAATATATGCCTATCTGTTTCTTCCTTACCCTTAATCCATTTAAACTGTCCTCTGGAGTACCCACTGTAGTGGTCCTAGATGATTTAATGTTATTTAAATGGATTTTATTGATGTTGAATTTTATAATGAACTCCTATACTATTTAGAATAAATTCAAGAAAGTTTATTTCTTTTTTGGGGGGGAGCATACCTCTGGTTTTGACTTAATGAAGGGAACACTAAAATAAGCTCTTATGGGGTGTTAATTATGAGCCAAGCATTGCCCTAAGCAGATTTAGGTGTCAACCTATTTAATTTGCCAATAACTACATGAAAAGTATATTCTTTTTCATTTTGCAATTGTGAAAACTGATGCTGAGAGAGATACAAGCAATTCATTCTCTTTATCAATGAGCGTTTATTGCATTTGGGGCTTAATACAAGGTCTGTTTCATGGGTTTACTGCCAGGTGAGTCAGGTTAGTCAGTCTGTTGATTTGGTCTAGACATGTATATGTCAGGTTTTATACACCAGTGTCCCACAGAGAGTAGTGTCTTAAACAGTAGAAATGCATTGTCTCCCAGTTCTGGAAGCTGGAAGTCCAAGATCAAGCAGTTTTGATTTCTTCTGGAACTGTTGAGGGGGAGACGAGACATGTATTTGGCATCTTCTAAGCTTGTAGATGGCTGTCTTTCTTTTCACAAAGCATCCTCTATACATCTGTTCAAATTTCTCTTTCTTAAAGGAACCAGGCAATCTGGGTCAGGGCTATGACCTGATTTTAAACTTACAACTCTGTAAAAACCTTTTGTCCATATAAGCCACATTTTGGTATACTAGGGCTTACTTAGGACTACTAAATAAGAAATTTGAAAGAATATTTTTCACTCATAAGAGGGCCTCTACACTTCCGCTCATCCCTCTGCAGGCTGTCCAAGGCTCATTTTGTTGAAATTTGAGTACAAGAGGGAGGAAGCCATGCACACAGGCCTTTCTTTAGTCTCTGTTATCCTTCTGTTTGTTCAGGGCTCATTGGCCAAGGCCAGACTCCTGGTTTGTTTCATTCAGAGTGAGTATGGAGACACTTTCTCAAAAGGGAGATGCAGACAAGTAAGTTATAATGGAAAGGTCCACGTTCACTGTTAGTTCTCAGGACATCGAAAAGCCAAATCCAACATAAAATACCCATTACGGAAGAATTAAAGATTGGTGGGAATATGGTTATATATGATGTTTATTGCTTTTTTAAAATAGAAAAATAATTCATCTACTATATATTAAATATTTATTATCAGATCTATATTCCCATCCCATTGTAGGGTAGATAGGAAGCAAGATATGAAGTTCAAGAGATTTTTTTTTTTTTTTAACAATGTGGGTTTGAGCCAACCTGGGCTGCATGAAATTCTGTCTCAAAAAGCAGAGAACGATTATTATCTGCCAAACATGCTACTAGATGCTGAAGCACAATTGGATTTAGCACATGTTCTTTATCTCTAACAGCTTACATTTCAGAGGAGTCAAAAACGAACAAAGTTCACTAACATAGAACTATTGACTTCATTCAATGCAGTGAGCTGGGCCTAATCCGACAATCATTTGTTCATTGACGTTTGGCTCCCTCTGCCTACTACTTGCCAGGCAGTGGGACAGATGTAGAGGTTCAAAGGCAAAACAAACAAACAAATATTGCTGTTTCATGGGACTAGTTGGCTAGAGAGGTATTAAATGAGAAATAGTATACATGGTAGATCTTCTGAGATAGGATAACAGAGGTTCTCACATGTGTACAACAAGTAGTTATTCCCCACTCTGGGTTCAGAGAATACTTCCTTTGGGGAGGTGATAATGAAAGCCGAGGTCTCCTTGATGGGTAAGGATTTGCTAGACCAAATGAGGCTGATAATGGAAATGAAGGCTGGAAGGAGGAAGTGAAGGGAAGGAAGAAGGGAGGAACAAAGGGAGGAAGAGAGGGAAAAGGAAGGAAGACAGGGAAGGAGGGATGGTGTGGGAAAACGTCTAAAGCCTAAGAGTTGTATATCTGCATGCCAGGAGGGTAGTCAACCTCACCCAAGGAACCTACGAAGCAACAAGCTACAGGAATGCAGAAGGGACAGGACGATGGTGGCCTGGGAACAGCTAGAACAAGGCAACACTCACTCAGCTGAGGACTGCAGCCCACATTTTCTCTTGGCTGCTCTCTCTCACACTTCACACCTTGACAATACCCCTGGATCTTTCAAGTAGTTGTTGTTGATTTTATGCTCATTGCTGCAATTTTTTTTTTTTTTTGCCTCTTGACCTCCATGATCCCTCTCCACCTGCCTGGTCTATTAGGTCCATGAGTCTTGAGTCATCAGAGGTTAGTTCAGGAAAATTCACTGGAGTCTGGGTTTGAACACTCAGGTTCTGAGTATTCAGCTGTATTGCTGAGGGGATGCTTGGCTTTGACAGGAGTATAATCCTTTTGTTTTCCACAAGAAGCCTGGGAGTGAGAACGTGCAGTTGGAGGTATGGCTGTAGTGGCTGAAGAGGGGTTGTGAGGAGTCCGGGTCTGTGGCTGGCTTACACTGAACATCTGTAACTTTCCTTCGCCCTGGGGCTCTTGAAGTCATGAAAAGATGGGGACTACCAGTCAACTCACTGATAGACAAACAATAGGCTACATATGTGGAGAGAAGTTGCGTGGTACAGCAGAGCTACACGTGGGATGGGGATGGGGGAGGATGGCTCTGTGCTGTTGCATGATGGAGGGAGTTTGTTGCAATTTCTCTTTCTTGATAATTCTCTCAGACCACGGTGCCCTTTAACAAATAGGACCATAAATCCAGGGATTTGGAGAGAAAAGGCTCCCTTTCAGCCTGGTGGGAGGCTCAAGTGCAAGGCTGGGTAGCTGTGGAGTTACATTGGCTTAGCCTAAATTCTGCCCAGCCCCTCACCTCCCATTGAATGAATTCGGGCGAGTTACCAGGCTTACCTTTCTCTCCTCTTTTTTGTTTCTTAAGACAGGTTCTGAACTTAGCATCATGAGGCAGTAAACTATAAACTCACTTTCAAATGTAGCTACCCAAGTGCGCCAACCACCGAGAGCCCAACCAAAGAGGGCAGCTTTTGACCCCCTCCAACTTTTATTATGAGTTCAGTGTCCATTAAAATTTGCAACTTAATGTATACGTAAAAATTATTTTTAATGTTTTAAATTTTTATAGACTTCCAAGAAGGAGGAATAAGTCCAAAGCTGTGATGTAGAATGTCTTCCTGGTTCCTGCATTTTTAGAAATAGATCTCCAGTGAGTAAGTACTCTAGACAGATGCAAACTTAGTTCTATTTTTAATTTTTTCAATTCTCCTTCCCCTTCCCCTTCCCCTTCCCCTTCCCCTTCCTTTTCTTCCCCTCCTCCTCCTCCTCCTCCTCCTCCTCCTCCTCCTCCTCCTCCTCCTCCTCCTCCTTCTCCTCCTCGTTCTTCTTCTTCTTCTCCTTCTTCTTCCTCCTCTTCTTCTTGGAATAAGAAGAGTTTAAGTGTTAAAAGAAATAGAGAGTTCTGAGTAAACACTCTGACAGCTCTTGGTATTCAGTTTCCTGCTTGCAGCTGGTGCTGCTTGCCAAGTCCAGGCTCCTGTCAGACAGCTGGTCTTGGGCTGCTGTCAAGGGCTGCACATACACCGTGCAGCTTACATGCACTCATACCCCACAAACATGAGTCAATTTTTGACATTGTCGGGGAAGAAGTGTGGTGTTTATTGGAAGAGCTTGTCTTTTTCTGAGTACTGTCTCCTCAGTGGATCAAAATCCTCTTTAAAAATTTGCAAGAGAAATCCTGTGTGGAACCTGGGTTAATTAGCACTAGCTTTCCTGATTTATTACAGTTTAGCATCTGCTCATTACTGGTGCCTCAGGCAGCTGGACACTGGGCGCAAGTCAGAGAGGGACTCAGCTTTCTCTAATTGTGTTCTCCTGTTATCATCTAGCCTGTGGTCCCAGGACACACATTATGAACCCTCAGCCCACCACAATTAACTGTGTGCTCTTCTTCACATCACAATAGTGTCTTCCAAACGGAGCATTTGGGTTTGAACTTAAGCTTAAGTGTTCTCTTCTGCTGGATTTCAGACATGCTCAACTTTAGCTGGTTCTGAGACACCACTGGATACTTTTTATGAAGGTTAAGTAGTTACTAGGAGAAAAGCTCAAATTTGATGAGCCTGATCTCTTGGAGGACACTGTGTATCCTTATGCACCTTAACCTGTTTCCAGTTGCTATCTCAGCTGCCCTGGTCAGGCATCCCACTGAAAGGAAGAATCCATACATGGAATATGAGTGCTCATTGCAAGAGCTTGCAGGCCCTGTGAGGGGCAGTCCAGAGCACAACATAATTTCTGACATGTGTTTTCTAGAATGGCTGTATTACACCCATGTTTAAGTCCTTTGGAGCTGCCAGGGGAAGAGGTGATCTGCAGGAGTAGACAGAGGACTTCCCTAAAATCTTTGCCTCACACCATGTTCACAAGTCCACTACTGAATTTACAGCAAGCTTCTCTAGAAAGGTCTCATGGGTTAAGTGTCAACAGT